CCCCCCCCCCCCCCCCCCCCCCCCCCCCCCCCCCCCCCCCCCCCCCACCCCCTTCCCCCATCCAACCAACCACCCCCTGTGAACATTTAGCAAGCCTTGTACTCGAACGCCACTTGCCACGCTAGAGTGGTCTGCAGTGACTAGTCGGATGTCTTTCCACAACGGGCGGCTTTCGTCAGGGTTGTCTACTTTCCTCATTTTTCTTCAACTTTATTGTTGACTCCACCATGGAGTCTCAGGATGCGGACGTAGAGGTCCTGTCTGGTGGAAAGCTAACTGATCTTTATTATGCGGACGAATTTGTCTTGCTGTTTAACTATGTTGGGGCGACCTAGTCAACCCGGAATAATCTCTCTGGAGTGGTCCCATCATTTGGTACACACTTTCACTTGCGAAGTGTTGTTGCTGGACCACCAGCCAGTTGATGAGTGACTTGAAGTAGTTGATCAATTCAATTTCTTGGCAGCTGTATCAGCAACGATGGGCGCATAAGTATCTGGGTCAATTTATGTGTTGCAGAAGCTAGAACTGTCTTCCTGAATTTGCGACGTCTGTGGCGTCGGCCGAGCGATTTTCCTCGATCTGAAAAACCGTGTTTAAAATGCCACAATGAGGGCCGTCTTAGTACCCTTATTATTATTATTATTATTATTATTATTATTATTATTATTCGTTCCGCAGATCATTGTGGCTAAAAGTTCATGTGTCAACTGTACGCCATGATTGCGCTTTGCTGCCACGCGAGCACCACCAGTCGGGCGTGGGTTGAGCATACCACGAGGACGGCCGCCCCATACACGGGTTCGAATCAGTGACCTTACGATTACAAGCCAGGCGTGCAGACCACTCGGCCATCGGCCGATCATTGTGGTTGCAATGCAGCGAAGCATCAGTTCGAATGGCACATGTACTGGTGTTTATAAGTATGCTTCCAACAGATTGACAAGATGGCCTGGTTGATAGAGTAGTCCGTGCTGGTGTGGGGAAGTGGATCGCTTGTGAGATGAGCCTGGTATGCTCAGCTACTATTCTGTGTGGATGTGCACACGTCTATCTCACTGTGTTGGTTGCGATTCCAACTGCTTATGTGCATTGTTGATGCACACGAAGTGTTCGTGCGCTGCTGCTCGAGTTGCGTGGTGTGTTTTGCGAAGTTGTCTTTGGGGGCCTCATATACCAGCTATGATAGGTGCACCTTCTCGTCATCGTCTTGGGATTGGCGTCAGAGTGCCTGCTGTTTTCAGGCAGAATGTGGTTGGGCTATGCGGCCCTCTGTCTCCATACTACTTGATATTCTTGCACACCTGTTTCGTTGCGCGCAACTTTTTTCCCCTCCACTTTTCCTCCCGTAGCATGTTGCGGTGGTATGGTTGTATTCGCGGTTGTAGAATGCTGTGCTTGCTTCCAAGCCCGTGGTTCCGTGCCCTCGTGGTATAGCCCGCAAGCTACATTGATCTGCTTTGCCTGTATGCAGTTGCCACTGGTATATTTCGATATCAGGCACATATGCTGTGTCATGGGTCACTGCTGTTGTGTTTGGTTGGTTGAGTGGCTTGTGTGTTGTTTCTATTCATTTTCTGTATGCAGCAGACCGTTGGTGTAGAGCGATATGTCTTTCTCATTCTTATGCCTGCATTCCATTTGACTTGCGTTTGTGAATGAGCTGCGTCTTGGTTTGTGTCCAGGTTCGTTTCTGATTCTGAAGAACATGCTCAGGTGTGGTGGTTCATTGGCGACTGACTGGTGTCGGGGTTTTACCCTGCTCCTTGTACCATTTTTGCTGACGACGAGGACCATCATTCCACTAAGTCTGACATGTGGTGCACTGCTGTTGTTGGCACTAGGTTGTACTGTTGCCTTCGGGTGTTTGGGTTGTTGTCCTCGTCGTTTCCCAGACTGAAGTCAGTTCGAACCACCTTGTGCTTAGCTGTAGTCTAATTGGTCATTTGAAGAGCTTGGGAATATCCGTACCTCGAGGTGTGCATGTGCATGTTTTGCACTGTTTTTCGAGCAGAATGATTAGTTTGCAACCGTTTCGTTGCGATACTAAACAACATCGTCATTGCGGCTTTTAGGGCTTGCTTCGCAGGACCTTTTAAGCGACATCGAGATTGAAGTTGCTTATTGGTCGAGTTCTGCCTTGAATACTACGCTTCAGTAAACTGTCGTGCTTGCTAGCCTGTGGCTCTTCTGAGGAGTTCGACGTACTCCAAGTTGAACTGGTGGTTTTCGATATCTATATGCACTGACATCATGACGGCAAATGGCTATGCGTTGCTTGCCATCAGCTTTTGCAGATTGTTTGTTGTTCTCTTCAATCTGGACTGTTAATTCGTTTTTTGTGACACTGCACTGTCTTTGTCCCACGTTTGTACTGGTGGCCATAACGATTGTGCACCTGCGTTGTTATTCTGAGTTCAGCGTTTGGGATCCGCGTAGGTGCGGGTGATCTCACGGGATACGCAGCTTTCGCGCACCTCATGGTGGTCGCGTGGCAACGAAGCGTCGGTGCTGTGTGTTGGCGTACTGCTGATGCATGTGTATATCTGATATCAAACCTTCTCTGTGTTCGGTCTGAGAGTTGTACGAGTTAAAGCAATATCAGCCAGTCTCCGAGTAAGCCATCACTCATATGCACTCCCCTAAATCTCATTCCCTCTGGTTTATTTTGGATTCCTACTATGTGAGCGAATCTGTGTTTGATGCGACGTAAGTCATCTATGGTGTCTCAGTATGCGCAGCCTTCCTGTGGCTGTGCGCAGTCCCAGTGGCAAAGGAGTGTATAAGCGACTGTCACCAACATTGCGCCTAGTAAATGTGTGTCGATCGGAGTGGGACATGGCCACATTTTAGGAGGATAGCTGTCGCGGCCTTTGTTCCTTACGTGCACTTTTGGTGGGCTGCGTGAGTTTGACGTTGGCGTCCAATGCCCCGTGGTACTCTATGCGGTTTTAGTTGTAGTCGTTGCTCGACTTGATGGCATCGTCGTTGTCGATATAGTTGCTTTACGTATGCTGGGCTTCGTACGAGATGGTGCGGATTGACATTAGCGTCCTTGTCACTGAATCAAACACACTTGATCTGATGGCGCTGCGTTTGGTTGCACTCAATGAAGACGATTGTCAGACACGGAGTGCTTTCTTGCGTGGCGCATCGCTGCCGTTTTTATCTGGATATTGTTTTCCATCAGCTCTCTGCCTGTTGTTTGTGGTGATCATGGTGATGCATCCTTCGTCAATTTTGTCCTGGGAAGGATGAGCATTGTTGTATTGTGATGTGCGAATTTTGTTTCGGTGTCTTGTGGTGTGAGTTGGTGCATGTGCTGCATGTGGCTGTGCGATGCTGTGCTCTCCTCCAAGCCCGTGGTTTTGATACCCCGTGGTATTTCCGGTGAGCAACACTGACTCTGCGCACACGTGGTTGTGGTGTGTCGCTGTGTCACGCGCACACATGTTACGGCCGAGGTTCCCTTGTGTGTAGTGGGCATAGTATCTGGTACTGCTTGTGTGGCAGTTGATCTGCGTGAATTGCACTGTTGAGGATAGTGTGGGACACGTTGATGGTGGCCATGTAGGTAGCCGGCGTGGACGCGCGCCACGTCTTGCTGTTCGGGTTCGTGGTTCGTGCTGAAACGCTGCGACAGACTGCTTGCTTCCTGTGGCGTGTATGCTCGCGCATTTTCACTATTTTACATTATGAACTCTAAATCTACCAAAGGTTTGCGATTAAAAAATTCTTGGTTTATAAGTGTATGGAAATATTTCGTGGATGCGCTCTGCTGGATCGATTTATGATGGATCTTCGAACGCCGAGCGAAGTCTTCTTATTTTGGTTCCATATTATTTTGAAAACTTTTTTTACATTTTCTCTTTTCGTTTCATTTAACGCTATACGTTTTATTCTAGACCAGTAAGTGTGGGATCTTGTGCCATATGTCGCTTTATGTTGAATGATTCTTCTAATGTAGTGTCTCATTGACCTTGGAGGTTGATTGAACAATATATCTTTCGGCTTGTTCTGGCATAACTGAGATATATACGGATAATAATGTAAGAATACAATCTTCGGCGTGTAGACAATGTCCGTTTGAAAGGGCGTGCCACGTTAGTTATGATGGTTACCTTGTTAGCTACCTCGGGCATCTGCAGGCTGGTTATGCTGTCATTTTCGCCTTGCTTGCTTTGTCAAATAAACTCTTTGTCTCTGACGATTTGTATTGTCTGACAGTTATTATTTCGGACTGCATCGACTGATCACGCTTTGGAATGGTGTCATTTTTCCGTGATCTTTGTCGTTAGGCCCCCCCGGGCTTCTATTTGCTACTGATAAGTTATCCTTGTCTTCTGTCTGGTATGCTTATCAGGATGTCCTACTTATCGCCGCGTTCTTACTAGGCTAGCGGTGGACGGTGCTTCTGTGGTTTGATAGTATCTGTTCCTCTGCCTAGGCTGTACTAATCTACCGCACAAGTAAGATTTTGTTGTAGTCTTGTCATTTGATTCGTAGCCTGCCTTGTACTCTGAGGACGCGGAATCGAGCCTACATAGTGACCGTGCGACTCTTGCTGTAGCATTCGCCTACGCGCGAATGATGGTAATCACGCGGCATCGAAGCATCGGTACTGCGTACCGTTGTACTACCCATGCTTTTTTATCATCTGGCGTGAATGTTACTATTAAACTTGCATAGCGCCGTTCATTGTGGCAACTCATCGCTTACTTGTGCAGGCTACCTGTGGAAATGACACCTTCGCTGTTCGCATCGATACTCCCTTCGGTTTTGGTGCTTGTAGTCGCTCTTTTGTTTCTGCACATTATCCTAGGCGTCTGCCACGTCATGCTTGGTCGCTGCTTTCCATAGCTTGACGTTCGCTCGAGCCGTTCGGTGAACAAGCAGTGCGTTGCAATTCATATTAGCGCTCTACATTGTCGCATGATTTGTGTCGCTAGTGTTCTGAGATAGTATTACGCAATTGTTCCTGTTTCTTTTCCACGAAACAGCTTTCTAATTCGAAAAACTCTTCTCAAGAAAAATTACCGGAATCGAAGCCTAGCTCAGCCAGTTGGCGTAACCCAATGAGCATTCTCTGCGAGATCGAACGTCGATCAGGTTAGTTGTGGCTTCTTTTCTTAACATGTGCACGTGAATCTATGTTGACGCATGCGCCAACCAAGTCTCGACAGTTTTCATCTCAACTTCGGTCGATGCTTCCGCCATCTGCTGCACAGTTGCAAGAATCCTTTAGAATCCCCATACCACATTCTTGTATGCATTCACTTAACATATTTACGAGGCAATCCACTTACTTCATCACCTGTTTTGCGTCATTTGTTTCCAGTCGACCTCTCATCGCGAACATTGTACATAGCGCCTGTCCCGCGTGACTGCACGCATGACAGCCTGAAGCAGTTATCATCGACGCTTTCCTCCTCCCGGCTATCGTACAACTTTCGCACCAAATGCTGTCGTAAGTGAGTAAAACCATTCGTCTCGTCGATCAGTATGTTGCTCCCGTCTCAGAGTACACGGTTAGCCATTACGTATCGTGTCGTCATTGTTGTTTCTGATCTCCAGGTTCCAATGGCACATTCTCCGTTCCGTTTCTGTGTGCTGATGTTTTTTCCGTGAAGTAACCAGCACGCTTAGCACTCTTGGCTTCTTAGTGTCCATATGTCACCAGACTGAGGTTTTACACTACCTCAGCCGTGTGATTCTCATGTTGTTTCTATATTTTTTGAGCTCTTTCGCACTTGAGGCATCTGTTTACCAGCGGCTAACGTATCCTTGGCCACGCTGTTGGGGCTAGTATCATTTATGTAATCGATGGTGGCATTTCCATTTTGACCCACGCTCACAATGAGCTCCTTTAGAACGCTTTACAATACAAACACATGTTGGGTATTTTTCGGCGGCATCTGAGGTATAATACCAATAATGCCAATAACAATACATATCTTTCCCGTGGCCCGACAACCTGTGTCTGTGGCGACATAGATCAATATGTACGATAGTAACCAGGCTGTTGCGTAGGCGACGCACATAGGTGCAATGTCGCATCATAGGATTTATATAATAACAATTTGGTGCATCGTTGAGGCGAAAGCCGTGCTTTGAATACATAAATGTTTAGATGTTTTTGGGACGCACTTGGAACAGTACACCGAGTGGTTTTTCTCCCGTGAATATAGTCAAGGTAACGGGAGGGTCTGCTTCTAAATTTTGCCACCTTTTCACACGATCTGAGTGTGAGTAGCAGTTTATTTCACAGATAGATATATCTGACCAAGAAGAAATTAGTGCGAACGCTTGTTCTAGCCTTTGCTATATTCAGTGCAGGGTCCTCATTACGAAGCTCTCGAGTTGTGCTATGTTGCAGTTCCACTGTAAGCAGATCGGATTAGTTTTTTGTGTAGCAGGTTGAAAAGCAGCAAAAAGTTGAGTTTCAATCGTCGCATCCAAAGCGATCCGAGTTGGAGTTTGTTGCAACGCTGTCGATCATTCATGGTAAAGTGCTTACTAACCAACTGTTTAGTAAACAACCTCTGCTTGTGTTCTAGCAATTATGTCGTTCTTTCTCATGTTGCCGTACATTATGCTACAGTACTCGAGGATGGGGGGGGTGAGTAGCTTACAAAGCTTAACTCCCGTATGAATTGTGTACTTTCGTTGAGTATGTTAACCACAGATTGCCTGGCACGCGTTATTAGGTATTGGGTCTGTTCGGAAAATTTGAAGGTCGATGAGTACGTAATTCAGAGATAGTTCGTGGGCGGCTGTGTAAAGACATGTTCATTGTTTAGTGCGGTAGATCTTTCGGGGAGGGAACAGCCGTAAGACATGCTTCTTGGCTTTTTTAGCTGTGATTTCTCATACACGAGTGTCCCCATACCTTAAGGGAATATACTTTGTCTTGAAATTGCAACAAGGTACTGTGAAGTTCGCCATATCGAAGCGAATAGATGATTTTGTTATCTTCGGTGAATAAAAATGTCCGACTATGTTTTATGAACGTGGTGATGTTATTGGTATAGAGCAGGAACAGCAAAGGACTGAGCACATCTCCTTGGGTGACTCTACTTGTGATGGGGCGTGGAGAATAGCTATAGTTACCTAAAGTGCCTACCTGATGACGACCACTCAGGCAGAACGATGACCAACCTAGTAATGGGTCCCGGATCCAAAGGGCGTCTAATTGTTTTAACAAGCACTTGGGAGGTATCCGGTCGAATGTTCGGTGTATGTCCAGAAACAGAATTCCTACTGCATAGCCTGAATCCATAGATTCTGAAATGCAGTTCAGACAATACAGTTGACCGGTGGTGCACTCTCGCTAGTCAAGATAACTATGCTACGACTTATTTATTAGGCCCAAAGGATTGACAAAGTTCCTGCTGATTTTGGAAACACATTTTCTGTGTCTGTTTGATGATATAAGAGCAGCTGCAGCTGGTTTGGCTTATGTTAGAATCGCATTGAGTGACAAGGCTGTGACATCGTAGCTTAGTTCCCGATTGCCAACGAGCTGTACCTACGGACGTAATTATCACGATGTTGAGTTCCTCCAAGGGCTCATGGATAGACTCTTGAATGTCGGTAAAGCCAGTGTGACAATTAAACAAGTAATCCGACTTGGCCAGAGAACTAATCAGTCCTGTCGGCCTCTGAGAATCACCTATGCAAATCACAATACGCCGCAGCTCATAGTATCTCGTCGACCAAGGCTGAAAGGCCTAAAGGTTCACATCCACCGAGACTTGGAACCCGAAGACAGGGATCATTTGAAGACTGCGGTCTTTGAGCTCAAAGGCCGTACAGGAAAAGGTGAGACTGACTTACAAATTGTAAATTTTCGCCTGACCACGAAAGCTGTACGAACCCGTATAAACCGACTGCTCAACTTCCAAGCACGTGCTGCGGTACCTCCCGGGACCATGTGGCACTCGCCAACATGTGCATCCTAATGAACAAACATGACGAGTTGTGTTGCTTCACTGTCTCGGAGCGGCCGGACGTTTTTGGACTTGCGGAGACTTGGTTGAACTCTGAAGTCACACCCCAGGAAGTTGCATTGTCTGGATACTCTTGTTTACGATGCGACCGGAAGGCAAAGGCTCACCCTAGTGTTCTGTTGTACATCAACTCGGCGTTATCTGGCAAATTTATCAGCACCTACCGGAGCGAGGATAATCTATGCGAACAACTGTGGTGCTCGATCCGCCTCAGACGCGCAGAACTAATAGTGGGTGTTATCTACCGTAACCAATCTAACCGTTGTTGCGATTGGCTGCCACATATACAGAAGCACCTGAGCCACTCTCAGTTCTTACTGATGGGGGATCTAAACTTACCTGTTATTCTGGCCAGACGTTCGGCTTCTTCCCTGTCATGGCGACGTTGAGGCTCAATTCGCTAAAAATGACTATTGAAATCGGGGTGACGCAACATGTCATCTAACCGACGCGCGTAACTCCGCGCTCGGCATCTTGTCTGGACCTAATGTTTGCGAGCTGCGAGCAGAAACTGAAAAAGATCAGAGTCCTCGAACCTCTGGCGAACAGTGATCACTGCTCCATTGTGGCAAGCATAGAACTGTCGTTACCGTTTTAAAACCAGGGGAAGCCGACATTCTACTATTGAAAGACGAAGTTCAACCGGCTCGTCCAAGCTGCAAGTCAGACTCATTGGACACTGCCACACAATACGTCGCTTTAGACCTGTTGGTCATTAATGAAGGTGAAGCTTAACTTGCTGTGTACTCGGTTTGTTCCTCTGAAGTACTCAAGTCGGACCTGTCAAACCGCATTGGTTTGATAGGGACTATAGACAGTTAGCACGACAGCGTCGCAAACTTTTGGGTAGATACATCAGCTCGGCTTGAGCTGAAGATTACATGGTGTTCAAGAAATAGCATAACTTATGTAACGCAGAAACGATCAAGAAACGCCGGCAGTTCGTAGAGGAGCTAGCATCCTCGGCCACAACTGCACCCAAAAGAATATTTGCCTACTTGAAATGTCAGCTGCAACCTGGGGGCAACCTACCTCTCTTAGAGAGCTTGGGCCGACAGACGCTCATTTCAAACGCGGAGCGCGCGGATGCCTTGGCTACGCACTTCCTCATCGTATTTTCCAGTAAAACAGCGGCTGTTCCAGTACCGGAACAGATTGCGCCAGTCTTGCTCGACAGCCTACAATGTGATGCTGTCGAAGTGTATCAGCTACTCGTCAACATCGATGGTGTAAAGCCACCCGAACCAGACGGACCCACTAATACTCAAGTCCCTATCGAATGTCATCTCACCAGCCGTGACAAACCTATTCACTTCACCTACTCACTTCCCTCTCTGAGGTATCTGTCCTCAACGACTGGAAATGCTTGATAATGAAACCGCTTCCCAAGGGTGGTGATCCGACTAAATTAGAGAACTATAGACCGATCCGTTTGACTTCGATATTTTGCACAATTCTCGAGAAGATTGTGAAAAAGTGTCTACTGTCGTTTTTCAAATCGATGGACTTATTGACACCAGCGTAACACGGATTTACGAAAGGGCGATCCTGCATCACCAACTTGATGTACGCAAACTACTAGTGGGTACGAGCTCTCAACGAACGGAAGGATGTTGACGTGTACATCGACTTTAGTAAGGCGTTTGACAGAGTGAACCACGTGGTACTCCTTCGTAAACTGAAGACCTACGGAATCGGTCGCACGTTACTTCAGTGGTTGCACGAGTTTATTGTTGGACGAAAGTTTAGAGTACATGTCAATGACTACCTCCCAGACTGGTTTCTATCGACCAGTGGCGTTCGTCAGGGAACTGTACTTGGACCGGCATTATTTCTTATTCATATCAACAATCTCCCGCAGCAGCTCCAGTCAGCATGTGCCCTGTTTGCAGATGATTTGAAAATCTGGAGGATCATTGAGAATCAGGACTACTGCGCTCGCCTCCAGCATGACTTAGATCGATTGTCAACGTGGTCCACTGAAATGCAACCCTCTTAACGGAGTTCAGTATCACCAAACGTGTAACCACTCTAGCATACACCTAGGACGGCCAGTTGTTCCATCATAACACATCTGTCAGAGACTTAGGAGTGCTATCGCGACATGATATGAAATCACTAGAAAATACAGAAAAATTGTATCGTGCGGGACTTCGTATGCTCTAGGCATTACGACGCAATTTCTCCACTTGGTCCAAAGAAACCGCTCCTCGCCTATTCACCTCGCTCATTAGACCAATTCTTGACTACTATGCCCCAGCTTACAATCCGCTAACCCAGTGGGAAACTGAAAAGCCGGAGAAAATACAGCACATCGCAACTAGAATGATACCCAGTCTACGAAAGCTTCCGTATGAAAAACGTTGTGAAAAGCTCGGACTCTATAAACTATCCCACCGCTGAGTAAGTATTGACCTTATTATGACCCGTCGAGTACTACACTTGAATCACTTCCCCATAAT